AGTAAAATGAAGTCATTCCTCTCTCATTTGGGATTACGTGTCATCTTTGTTTGGACAATCATTACAATTGTTTTTTTCTATATTTAGTGTGTTTGCTGGTTACTAACTTGAAATTAATTTAACTTAATACTAAGCTTTCTATGGAGCAAGTTGTATAAAAGGTTTTATTTTCAAAGACACCCTACTTTGGAAGTTTTCATAGTCCCACCAAATACCTAACAATGGATCAGAAAATACATGTGTGTGTAAATTCTAAGCAGGGTTCCAATCTAATTTTTGAAATAAATAACCAGTAAATTTTACAAAATATTCTGGTATTGTTAGTAGCAACCAATATTGTCAGTGCTCCTGGATGTATTTAAATAAAACAAAACATTTTCCTGTCAAGACAGTTCACAGTGGCAGTGGCCTTAACAACTTTAGAAAAAAAAATAACTTAATGACTTTAGCTAAGAATGTACTAAAGTACTAGATATATGAATTTATAAACTAAACTAAAACAAAAATGTTTCAGGTTAAGGAACCCTTTAGGTAAAGAAACATTTTCGAAAAGGTTAGAATTTTCCCCACATTTATGTTAGCTAACAACATCAGGAACCTATTTATTTTCTTCTTTATGCTACTTAGTAGAAGACAATGCAGATAGACAAGACCTTCCATAATGACTTACTCATCAGGAAAAGTATCTCCAACAAGAACACATATTTACTGTGAAGATTAAGGATAAGACATAATTAGCTTAATGAAAACAAGTGTAGTGACTGATGTCTAGAGGTTAATCTACCTGCAGAAGACAGGTGAAAGTTAAGAATTTAACCCACACATATCAGAAACTACTGCCTGTTTACATGCTGCACTGCCTTCTTTTGTTTCTAACTTCTTGAAATAACAGGTCGGGTGCCGCCATAAGACACAGCGTGTGTCTTCTGTAACCTTAGGCAAGGACATGACTGCTTGGAAAAAGCCCTGCTGCCTTGCTTTCCCCCAGGCTTTCTACATTCATAAACAGCAGAACCTAAGTTACCTGTATTTCCCTGGCGTGGT